TTCCAATCAACAGACCCCTCTGGGTTGCACGAGCACCCTCTCATGGCCCTGCTTTCCAGAGACAAACTTATTTGAGAGCAGAAAGAATACATTTATCTTTGTTCCTTCCTGTAACTTTCAGAGCCACAGAAATGAGACGAAGAGACACGGAGGTGACACTCTCAAAAACTGGTACTTGTAAGCTAAAATTCACTAAGAATTGCCTCAATGTTTCTACTCACATACACCTAAATCGGGTCCACAAACATCAGCTGAAGGATTTTGATTAGACAAGGAATTAAATTGCTTCCCCAAAGATAACATAAGACAAGGAAAACAGATAAAGTTGGACAGAAAGCTGGGTAATTATCCTCCTGAACTCTCCAAGTCAGAAACTGTCATCAGTGTGCTGTCTCAACACAACAGGATCCAAGATTCCTGTCCGCAGTTGTCTTTCCTAATCAGGTCTCAGTACAGTGAAGTGAAAGTGTTTGTATCTCCACACAGTATTTGGAACATGCAGTCTTACTTCCTGCAACAAAAGCCAGAAAAGCATCAAAATGATGTTTCTTGTCTTCAGGGAAAGAAGACAATCAGAGGGGACCTTGGACATAGTTTTGGGGTACACTTGAGAGGGCAACCATCAGGCTACCCTGTCCTTACATGACAGGATGCAGCATAAGGGAAACTAATGATTAATGAATGTGGTTCAACTGCTGTTCAAGGGATGTGGCAACAGCTACAGAAAGCTTAAGCTTATTTGTGACTTCGTTACCTTGTCAACGCTGGGTTTAAAAAAATAAAATCACCTCACAACGTTTCTGTAGCTTATTAAAAATATTCATCAGTCCTTTCTCGACACACTGAATATGACTAGACACAAGAAAGACATATGGAACAGTGATGTATTAAGGGCAACTGAATCCTCTCTTCTTAAAGGCAAGTCAAAGCTAGACACCCAACAGAGTTACCCAACAGAGATGCAAAGGTAGTGGCAGTTCTCATGCATAGTTTATAGCTCATCCATTTCTGAGAGGAATTGCCATGTATATTTCCATACTACCATGAGGCTGAATCAATCTGTTTATCCTGATCCAAGTATTAGGATGGAATCTGAGACAAATTCTCCCTTCTACAGCAAAAGGTCTGACAAGATAAAACACCCCAGCTCTTTCTGAGAGGTCTCATGCCACACACTAGTTCTGTCTCACCAAACCCAATGAAAGCCAACTAATTAGATCATCATGCTCCTTCTACCACATGAACTGCCTTTGTTTGCTTCAGGCCGATAGCAATCCATCTGTGATCGAGATTCTGACAATTACCACTCTGGAACAAAACCACAGCGTGCTTACAAGAGACAAAGAGTGCCTTGAGCCTGCCATGAACCAGCTCCACTTCACCAACAAGAAGTTTATTTATAGGGCTATCACAAACAGCACTTCAAGCCGGTATTTGCTGTTGCCTATCACCACATTTCTATTGCCAAAGACAGGCATGTGTTTGATGAGTCCATACGTGCAGTTTTCAGGAGAGAAGCAAGAGGCACATAGCTCCCTGCCCATCAGCAGCACAGGGGACTGCCACTGCCTCCTCTAGGAGTACCTGTGCAAATCCTGCTACAAGGCAGCATTTCCTACCTGTCACAAACACAAGATGCTGTCAACTGCTGGTAACAGATATTCAAGCGCAACTTACATGATGTTCACAACATCTGTGGATCGAATATCAGAGAAGATGCCCTTTTCCTATTTAGTTACCTCATGCACGAAAAGTCACCACAGTTTCCAAAAGCACACAGAGAACAATTTCACAAAACATCAAAACAGCATAAAATAAACACTGAGCAAAACATGAGCTATTGTAGAGGCCATATGAACAACTTAATTTATCCCAGTAAAACTCCAAAAATGCTTTTATTAATTATCTTAAGCTGCTGGGAAACATTTAGCAATGCCACAGAAAATTTGATCTAGCTACTGAAATTAAATCCAGTTTGACAAAGTATGCAAGGTCTCAACCATAATATTCAAAGAACTTCACTTAACCACTTGAATAAGGAGTCATTCATTAGACAAAGCTCCTACTTCCCCCAAAACCCAGAAGTGCTGCAGTACCAGATCAAAAAAAATTTATGACGACATATTTGTCATTCCCCTGCTGCCTTCACTCTCCCCAGGGAATCCCAAATCTGATATTAAGATCATGACAACATATTACATGAGGCAAGGGCAAAAATACGGAAGATGGGTAGAATGTGTTAAGGTGGGCGGGGGAGAAGACAGCAGAAGATGCATGACAACATCTGCAATAAAGCCCTTGGACCCAAATTTGGCAGCCAGAAGAGTTTAAGAATCAAGTAAAAAGAGAGAGAATTTCTGCATGGAGAGAGGGGAAAAAAAAAAAAAAAAAGAGGGGGAGGTGTTTAAAAAAGAACCTACATTCAGTTCAAGGCAGTAACATACTTTGAATCCCAGCTTTGCTGTATTTTACCCCCCAATAAGATCTCAAAATTCCTCTGAGCAACAGAGGACAAGAGGAAGCTAAAACCAGTACAGAGAGTATCCTACCTCTGAAAAATCTCCTGCAGGGTTTCCCTAGTGAAGGCATTGCTGTCCTGGAAGACGTTGTTGAGAGCATGGAGGGCACACAGCTCCTTACGCTGCTTCTCATGGTAAATATGCAGTGGTGGTGGCTGAGGTGGCTCTGGTGATTCCGATTTGGTCTTGTCACCTTTCCATGGCACACAACTCATTTTCTCACAGGGTGGGTGGAGAGTAGGTGACGAGAAACGAAGGAGGCTGAAGTTTCTTCCTCCACAGTCACAACAGCAGCCCACTGCCCCTTTCTTTTGTAGGCTAGCACTGCTTCCAGCTCCCAGAACCTCCTCTTGTGCTTCAGTTTATTTAGTAATTGCCGCTGACGGCTGGTTTTAAAAACCACATAGAGATCTACAGCATAGTTTTCCTCCCTCCACCCATACCCCATAAAATGTAATACTTCCCTCCCCCCCGCCCCCCACTGAAAAAGAAGTCAAAAGATATTAATCCCCTTAGTCTCAAGGTACCAGATGGAATTTATCACATCGCTCCTTTTCTTCCATCTCCTTTAGTCTACAGTGCCACTAAAAAAGGTACCCAGAGTAGGTAACAAAGAGAGGCCCACCCCCAAAGTGGCAAAGTGGAGAAGATGAAGCCAGCTTCTGGTGCTGCCTATGGGAGCACACGGTGGTTAAGGACTTATCAGCTGCATTCCTCTATGACTAAATCCAGGCAAGAAGATGCCAACAGCTCGGGAAAGGAAACCGTTTCTTGCTAGGCCACAAAATAAAACAACACCTAGGTCCAGGCTCCGGGGAAGGCAATTCCTCACAAGCCACCCTGCACTCTGACAAAGGGAGGTCTCCGTTAGCAATGAGAAAAGACAGCACAAAGCCCGCGGGGAGCGAGGAGAGGGCAGGTAGCGGGCAGGTAGCAGGCAGGACCAGCCCCGAGGCCTGCCTCACACCTTCCCACCCCACGCTCACACCACCACAACAACCACCACACCACAGCAACCACCATAACCACCACAACAAAAACAACTACCACCCCACCCCCGCGGGCGGCAGCCGCTCCCCACAGCCTAGGCCCAGCCCCACAGCCCCCGCCTAACGCTCCCTTCCTCCCCCCTCCACAGCCTCAGCCGCCTTCCTGCCCCTCAGGGCTCGCTGGCGGCCCGAGCCTCCTGCCCTTCCCCCTCAGGAAGCACCCGAGGGCAGCCGCCGTGGCTCTGGCCCCGCCACCTTACCAGCTCCTCAGCCCCTGACCGCCCCACACCGACAGCCGTTAACGCATGCGTGCGGGCCGCCCCTCGCTCCGCTCTTACACACACCCCCCGTGACCCCCTTCCCCCGCCCCCTGACGTTAACGGGCGGCCCGAGGGGAAAGGAGCAGGGTGGGCTTGGCTTTCCTGCGGAGCAGAGAATCGGTGTCTGCACCGCGGGTCGTCCGGGAGCCGCAGAGAGCGGCAGGGTTAGCTGCGCGGCCGGGGAATGCCCCGTCGCGCAGCTCGTTCCCGGCCCCGTGGCTGCTTTAACCTCAGGCGGGTTAATTTCCCTCCTGAGCTCCACTTCCCCTCTCGGCCGCGGGGTTAACGATAGTGCGGAGACTCACGCGGCGATAAATCAGCCGAGGCGGCTGGAGCGGTTTTACCGCCTGATGAATAAACATCAGTCCTTCCTGCCGAGCTGGAGCCGGAGGGGGGGAAGCGGGCGGGTGGCCCGGTGGAGGCACAAGACACGCCGGTTCCCCGCCGCCCTGCACGCAAAGCCCCTCATCGGTGGGCCTTCTCCCCGGTTGTCCCCTCACGGCCTGAACGCAGAGCCTGAGGCTGTGGGGGCCCTTTACCGACCCCACAACCGGCCGAAGCCCCGACTGCCCGGCGACACCCGTCACCTCAGCGAAGCGCTCGCTGGTTGAGAGGGATCCCCGGCGAGCTCCCTCCCCTCTCCATTGGCTGGCACAGCTGTCTCTCAAAGCTTCCTTCTTTTTCATTGGTTTCTCGTCAGAAAAAGCCCACCCACCAGGGCTGGCCTTTCCCATGTTTCTTAGTCCCACCCAGTTGCTCGAGTCTTCTTATCTGATTGGCCCTTAGTGTTCTCTGTCACACGGGCCAGCTCTCCTATTGGCTAGAACAGCCCCGACGCGTCGAGCGGTCTCTGTTGTGTGTGTATATATAGAAAACAAGCCGAGCTGGCAGTGGCTCTCCCATTGGCTTCGCGCGCTTCGTAGGGGCGTGGCCCTCCCTCATGAATAACCATTACCCCGCTCACCGTCGTCGTGGCTACAGGCTAATGACCCAGCTCCTCCTCCGCTGATTGGCTAGCACCGCCTCGGCGGGCCTGGGGCGGGGCGGGCGCACCTCCCAGGGCGGAGAGGCGGGGCAGGAGGGCAGGGATAGGGAAGATGGCGGCGGCGGAGCGGAGTCGATCCCCGGTGGGGGGCTCCCCGGTGCCGGCCTGTATGTTCGCCCCGGAGCCTGGCTCCCCGGGTGGAGGGCCTCTTGTAGCAGCGGCCGCCTGTCCCCTCCGCGCCGCCTTCGACGCCGAGGACGGTGAGGCACTCAACGGCGAACCCGAGATCGACCTCACCAGTAAGGTAGGCCCGGCGACCGCCATCTCCCCGCCGGGCCCCTCGCTGCCCTCGTCCTGGCGCCCCCCTTTCCTGTGGGACTGCTCCCCCGGGGCGGCCCGGCAGCCGAGGCCAGCCCCTCTCCTCGCTACCGTTCACCTCAGGAGAACGAGGGCCAGGGGACTCGTCTACCCCTGCAGGAGGTGGGATATCGTCCCATGGCCCCGTGGGTCTCAACATCACCCGGCCGGGTGGCAGAGCCCGCCGGGCCGTGTGGAGGCGGCCGGTAGAAGTGCTGTAAACTTGGGTTAGGGCCGAGAGCGAGCCGTGCCCTGGCTGGGAAAGGAGGGAGCCAGCAGGCTTGTCAGCCCTGTTCCTTCCTTCTCCTCTCTGGGGAGGTGCCTACGGCGGGTGTTGCGTCCTCTTAGCGAGCGCAGGGGTTGAAGCTGACGGCTGCTTTAGCGTCTAACGTTTTACCTCTGCGCTGGTTCTCTGTAGTTATCTCTGCTGCCAGTCGTACTAGTTCCTGGGGCTTTCTTTACAATCGTAGAAGCAGGTCAGAGTTTGTAACTCGTTGAGCATGAGGGCTCAGAGACAAGGCTGCCTTGCTCTTTCATACCGGGTTAAGTCAGCACAAAAAGAATTGTTCTTGAGCAGTTTCTTCCTAGGAATTGAATGGTGAAACTGTGTGGTGGTCTTATTTCTGTCAGAATCTGTTCTCATTTCCATCTTGCATTGTTGTAATACATGTATGCCAGGGCCTGCCACAGACTACATCTTCCACCCTATCTTCTCATTCCCCCCCCCCCCAAATTGGCTGGTTTCTTTAACTGTTAGCTGCTGCTGCCAAGGGTTTGATGTATCGTGGTACCATCTCCCACTCCAGAGTGTCCTGAAAACTTGTTTTGGTCTGCTTGTAACTATGTGATCCAGAAGTCAGCATAGCTGGTGTATTCTCCTGGTTTTCTGGCATCCTTCCTCTTCATGCTTCCATTTGGAGTTGTTCCAAAGTCCTGGATTTTCTTGCCTTCATGGAAAAATGGAGAAAGAGGAATTGTGATGTGTGGGTGTGCAAAAGCTTTTGTTTGAGGGAATGACTGGATATTTTACAATGTGGTGCTGTATTAAAACAAGTGTTATGAAAATGTCTGAAAAGATAGTCAAGAACAGAAATCAAGGCTGCAGTATCTATTGAGCCACCTGTTTATGCCTTAATGAGCTGGACAAGATTTTGATACAGGATGCCAATATTGATCTGTGCTTTGTCTTGGATGTGGCTGATGTGGAAGAGGGCACAGGAGGACGCCGAGGGCTGTGTCACTGATTCTTGACAGCCAGGAACCTGACCAAAACTCTTGACGAAGAGAGAGGAATGTGTTTCTCCCACAGTCTCCATTTGTGTTGTCAGCCTGTCTCCCATTCCTAGAAATCTGCAGGCACTATGAAAGCGATAGGTAAGCATGTTTTTGACCTTTATTAAAGTTACTTTTCCATATAACAATGTACAGCTGCTGTCTTTTCCCTAGACCTTTCATTCACCCCTCTCTTGGATGAGAGCTAAGAGTATGAGCTCTGTCCTATCTCTCCATGTTAGTCTCCTGCTATGTGCTCAAAATGGCAATCCCATATGGTGAGAATGCAGAAGCTAATGTGCCCCTCCCTTCTGATCCCCCATCTTTCCTGTCTTCCCAGTTGAATTGTTGCCCTTCAATTCCTGCTTGAACTGGCGAGTCCCACTGCAATCTGTTTGTTTGCTAGTTGCTACCTCTGTCCTGTGTGACCCACCCCCTAGCTGTGTTGCATATGTTTCTCATTGTTCTCCCGAAGGGTGTTCATTGTAGGGTGGGCTTTGTTTAGAGAGAAGCACCTTGGGATTCAGTTATCAAGTGCATCTTGTCAGCTGGTCAAGCAAACACTTTGATTCATCAGCACAAATTCATTATCATGTTGATCTTAGTGGGTGTTTATTTTCCCTCCACTACTAACACACTGTAGTAGTAATCATCTTTCAGGATAAAACCGTATCACACAAGGCTATTAGTGAAGAGATGATGGTTATATTAGATCTACATTGACAACAGAACGTTATTAGCACTTGAACTATATATGTCCACAGAAACGGAAAGCGAAATATATTACAGAAGGTGCCTTTTCCCTGACTTCCAAATGGCTAGTGGTTGCCTTCCAGCCATGGAAAGCATCAGTCCAATAAAGAGCAGCACTACATACCACATAGTATTTCATTTTCCCTTAATCTTTATTGTTTTCCCACCTCATGGATATGGAATGCTTCTTTTGTAAGGACTTCCTGCAGTAGTGCTGATGTACCCTGAGCTCAATCTCACTGGTTTCTTGAAAATGCATCTTTCAACTTGACCCCTGGAGTAAGCTCAGAAGCTGTAGCTGTTACCTATCTCTAGCATATGTTAATCCCAAAGCTGATCAGAGGAAAGGTGGGAAAAGCCACCTCTCCCCAGAGCTTGGGAAGGGACTTTAGAGATGCCATCTCATACTTGAGAGATATATTTCCTTCTGCTGTCATAAGAATAAAACAATAACTGGTTGTTACTTTCTTTGCCCTATAGGAAATCTGAGGTTTCTAGACCCCACATGGCTCCCACTGTTAACTGCTCAATGCCTCGCAAAGTGGAAAGAACAGAAATGGAAATTTTTGACTTTGTGAAAACCTCTGAAAACCACAGCTATGTAGTGCAAACGTGGAGGGGATTGCTCAAAGCTAAAAAGCAGAGAGGCCAAGATGGAGGGCCTCTCTTTGACCAAAGAGATGGCAAAGAACAGGCTCCCTGTGTCCAAGAAGCTAGCTGAAGAGATCTTCAAACCAGAGAGTAAAGTCTTGCAGTGACCTAGGAAATGGCAGAACTGGCTGTGGGTGCAGAAGCCATTAGAAACACTGAACAACACTGGAAGGTGTGATCAATGAAAGCTGCTATTGGTTCCACACATCCTTCTCTTGACACCCCACTACACTGCATCATCTGTAAGCTTCATCGGTCCTAGGGTAGACTTTGGAGGCTGTCTACCAGTGGAACACCCTTCAACAGCACCTTGTCTGGCAGTGAAAGCAGCAGAGTAGGGGGAATGGTGTTTTGAGCTGATGTGTGTGGGTACCATACTGTTTGAGCCTTGGGCCCTCCTACCTGGCACCATGAAGAAAGGTGACAGAGAGCTGCTTGTCTGAAATATCCACTCACACTTTAGACAGCACCCTGCCCAGGCACACTGCTGAAGCATTTGAACTTTTAGGAAAATAAAGTTGGTGATGAGACTTGAAGAAACTGAAGTTAGTGTGGCTCTATACTGGTGGCCCGTTATTTTGTTGATCTTTATGACAGCCTGTTTAATAGATCTTCCTAAGTCCCAGTCTGTGCTGGTGCACTAGCCTAATCAGTGAGCCTGTCTGCTGTGCTTCCAGGAATTCCTGAAAGTGCTCGCTGGGCAAAACAAGCTCTACATATCAACACACAGCCTTCCATTTCTGTCCTGATCAAGCCTTTGAACAGTTGCTGGTTTCCATCTAAATATATTTACATCCAGTGATCTCATTTAAGAAGAAAATGAACCCAAAAGAGCAAATAATAAAGGCAAAACTCAGTTGTTTGCGGCATGAAGTGAAAAGATTATGTGGCCTTCCACATTGGAGTGCTTTGCTACCCTTTGCAGACCATGCCAAGCAGTTAAAAGACTTAGGGCATGTGTCTCAGAGGCACGTGAAGGTCTCTGTTATAGCTGCCTGGCCCTTGAAGACACATGCATCACATAATGCATTGTGAGACCCTTAACATTTGAGGAGAGTGTTGCCTTGTCTGCCTTAAAGCTTCCAACCATGCTTAATGGCTTGCTGTCTGTGCTTCAGTTTTCCAGATGCATGCATTGCTCTAGTTTTGAAAGCTGCTTAAGTGTTATTTGTGGGGTTTGGGTTCCCTTACAGTCTAAATTCCTAATAAAGGCCTTCAGCAACTATGTAGGTAGTAGGGGCAGTTCTTCCTTGAATAGACATTGTTTAGCTGTGCTAGCAAGTCACTCTGTGTTAGTAGAGAATGTTGGGCAGGCTTGACGATGTAATCATTATGAACTGCTTCAAAGTATATGTTTTAGGCAAATCTAGCACACATTTTAGACTTCCTTCATGTGTAGTAAAGGAAAGTACATTGTTCTGAGCATGATTTCAGACCATGTATGTAAGAACAGCTAGTGGAAATACAGATTTCATTCAGTGTTGTAGCATGGCACAAGTGCACCTCCCCATAGGGCTCTTGGTAGGTGGTAGACTTTACAGCTTGTACCAAAAGTGCCTTTTTTTTAGCAGAAATGCATATTTCAATTGCAACAGCTAGAGAGCCACTGTACCAGGATGCTCAGCCACCAAAAGTTTATAGGTAGTCAGGGAGCAGGTGGCCAACTGGCCCTGAATGGGTAATAGAGGTCTCCTTGGTCTGCCACTGCTGTTCCACCACTGTGGCCACTCTGTGCAACTGTCCTCAGCTAAGAAAAATCCTGAAGCGCTGTTGTCTTGTCCTCATTTTCCACTTTGTTTCTGTCTACTTTTTCCTCCTCTTGCTGCCTCTGTAGGGGAGATCAAAGGAAGTTGTGGTTGTTGCAATAACTGCAGTCAAAGCTTGGTGGTAACACAGCTGCTGGCTTGCAGCTGTTGGTAACACAGCTGCAGCTCTCCACTGGTGAAATGCCCAAAAATGCTCATACAAAGTGCTTTGTTACATCTGCCTCTCAGCACTGTAGCATGAAGTACTTGGAGTTTTGTTAGGAGTTTGAAAATAATGCTTATTTGTGTTCTCTCCTTCCCCTCTGCCCCCTCAGAAAAGTATGGGGGGATCAAGTATGTGAAAGACTTGTGAGATGCTCTAGGTTTTGGTGCCTAGGTGTGCTCTGCAGCAAGGTCTGGCTGATTTCCTCTGGCTGTCCTGTCATGCTCTGGGGGAGCAGCAGCACTGTCTGTAGTGGATTCTGGAATACCCAGCTAAGGAATTTGTTTGGAGGAAATATCTCCTCCCCTTTGTTTTCCTTGCATGGATACATGTATTACACAGAAGAAGGATGTTCACTTAAATGTGGCTTCTAAACACTGGTTACTTCAAAAAGAGGTGCTTGGTATTCTTACGTGCTTTGAAGTATATCTTGCAACATAAATGAACTCTGAGCTCAGACAAATAACCTTGTGCAGTGTCACAAGGAAATAGCTGTCAGTGAAGCTGGTTTAATAAAAACAACTGAAAGCAAACCACCAAAAAGCGGTCCTTGAGAAAGAGCTCTTCTCTTTCAATAAAGTACATGGATTGATGGTCCTTATAACTGAAGCTGGTTTTGAAATTGTTTGCTTGACATCTGAAAATGGATATTTAATCTTCTTTCCAGCTGGTGATGGTGAGTCCAACTTCAGAGCAATATGACAGTTTGCTCCGGCAGATGTCAGAGAGAATTGATGAGGGATGTGGGGAGACCATCTATGTCATCGGTCAAGGATCAGGTGAGTGTATCTTCCTCAGGAAAACAACAAAACCCATTGCAATTACAAGAAGAGCCTACTTCATCTAACTGGACTGCTGCTTGGAACTTGGAAACCTCCACAAAGTACAGGAGAACATGTGGGACAGATTATTTTATTCCTGCCAGCAACTGTCTTATGTAGTGGAGCTAAACATATTTTTTATATAAAATCATGCAAGTGCTTTTTTTTGGAAATAAGGCATAAGTTGTCTGGGCACTCCAGGAAAAGATGAAGGATCTGAAATTACAGTAACAGTTTTAGTAGAGGCGTCCTCAGTGCCTGATAGAGGTCTTGTTCTGTCTGGTTTTATTCACTTCTCCACTTTAAATAACAATATTTTTAACCCATAGGAATGTGTTTGAGATACTTTGGATAACCAGAATGTATGCTACTGACTTACTTTGTTAATGTATGTCTGTACTATGGAAAGAAAGATTTCACTTTTCTCAGCATGAAGCCTTTATTGTCACATTAACTTGAGTGTGACTGCATCATTTGCCTTTTCGAATTTTAGCAGTTAGCACACATTGCCTTTTGGTCTTCTCCACAATCTGAATATTTACATCTGATGATGGTATTGAACATGGCCTTGCTAGAAATTGAAATTTGTTTCTCTGAATGCAAAAAGCTTGTCTATGGCTATCATAAGGCTAAAGGCACATTTCAGATAGCTTAGATATCTGCTGGACATCAAGTTGTTATGATCAGAAATTTTACTAGTTACGAAGTTTGAGGAAGAGTACAAAACCTGGACATCACTGCCAGGGTTGGCTGAGATAATGGAGGGAGAGAGCTGTGTTACTTCAGAACGGTGTGCTTTTGGTGATTTCTTGATGTCTTGTGAAAAAGCCAGTGTAGAAGAGAAGCCTAGAAAAGGCCAGTGGTCATACAGCCAGTATCACAGGCATAATGTTCTTGTCTCCAAGTGAGTTTCCCTCATTCTTGGTGTTTGGGATAACCACATTTGCAGCAGAGATCTAGCTAGTCAGGCTAGTAACAGCTTTCTCTTTTAGGATACTTTGTGAGGTGTTAACTGGTGGTTGTTGCACTGATGTACTTAGAAGTAGTTATTTTTTTTACCTTAAAATACAAGCTAAAACGTCTAACTTCATTTTGGGTTGCTTTGTAGTCAAGGAAGATGGGGATCTTTTCTGTAAATTGGAAACAATAGCCAACAGAAAACAAATCTTGATATCCCTGCCACTGTCACTCCTCATTCACTTTGAGTGTCTATGATTTTGATAATCATGTGTACCCAACTCAGATGACTGAGAAGCAAGTGAAGACTGCCAGGAAGCTCACTGCTTCATCAGTAGTGCCTCTTCCATTTATCCCTTGGCTCTTACCCTCTCTTTCCATTTATACCTTGGCTCTTGCTCTCTTCTGTCCTCTGCTCATTCCCCTTCTACAACCCAAGACCCCAGCCATGGTGCTTTTTGTTGTCTCCACCATCTCAACAGCTTCTCAGCCACCTCATGAGCTAGGTTAGAAAACACCCAGCAACTTTACTTGTTGGAGAGCTGTGCTGTAGTTAAAATGCTGATTAGTTCATGCAAACTGCAGTTACTGCTCATCAGCTGATGAGTCAGCCATGCATATAAATGCGCATACAGCAATAGCTTTGGTCATCCAGGTGCAGTGTAGCTTTCCACCTTTGTTGAAGGTTTTTTTACCTCAGAGGAGATTGTGGTCTGAAATCCATACAGCTTGTCAACACCTGGGTTAGGAGAGGAGCCAAGAGCTATGGTGGCCTTGAAATGGTCTCGATAGTTGCCGCAGGCTTGTTCTCACTGTCAATTCTTTGCCCGAGTGAGCTGTTCAGAGGCAGCAGTGCCTCTGTGCTTTTCTCTGTCAGCAATTCTTTCAAATGCCAGGGCGAAGGCAATGAGACATGCCAAAAACCATTGTTTTAACTGGAGAATGTAGGATTCTAAAGAAATTGCTGTGCAGGGAAGACTTGCAGAAAATATGTATTTGGGATGTGGTTTCATAAAATAAACTGATTGTTTAAATTGGTCCTACATTCACTGGTTAATTGTGATAATATTTCCTTTTAATGCTTTTCCCTCGATTACAATGTGAGATGTTTTATCTGACTGAAGGAAATGGCATGCAAAGTACCTTCAGCATGTGATTGCAAACAAACTACCTTCAGCATGTGAAGTAAGGGAATCAGACAGAAATGGTTCTTTCTTGCCAATCCTTAAGTATTTGCTTGTAGAAATTGTGTAGAAAACTCATCTAGATGAAAGATGCTGCTTTTCTAGTATTTCTAAAGACTTAGCATGAAGACAGTCCTTAGTTATTTGGGGTAAAGGGTGCTTATTCTTTTTACATGGCTGACATTTCCAGTCCACATATAAATCCCAGTCAGTGCGAAAGTCCCAGGCAGAATGACATAGCTGCTGGCCATTGCAAGGTGATGCTCGCTGATTGTTCTTTGTCTCCCCAACATCACACTAGATGGGACTGAATATGGTCTGAGCGAGGCAGACATGGAAGCATCCTATGCCACGTTGAAGAGCATGGCAGAGCAGATCGAGGCAGACGTGATCCTCCTGCGGGAGCACCAGGAGGCCGGGGGAAAGGTGCGCGACTACCTGGTTCGGAAACGTGTGGGTGACAACGACTTCCTGGAGGTCAGGTGAGGAGCCGGGTGGAGACAGGGTTAGTCAGCAGCCTGGCTGCATTTCTACCCTGTGAGCAGTGTGTGATGCTGAGCCAGCAACGCTGATTTGAGTCTGGGTGTTGTAGCTACCCAACAAAGGGAATTGAGCTTGACCACTCCTTGCTAATGAAATTGCCATTTTGTTGTTGTTGCTGTCAGTTTTGTGAACAAACTGTTTGTGAAAGTTTGCCTGTGTTTAGCTAAGGGCTGTTGCTGTCTGAGTGACGGCTTCACAGTTTGGGGATCTTTTGTGTCCTGGAATCCCAGTAGGGAGTCACGTGTGCATGTGTGGCTGTATGTATGTACCTATATGCACACTGCCAGAACACAGTGCTTTTGACTAAGGGTTCAGTTCTATTCCAAGACTATGATGATCCAGGTAACCTTTTAATGAACATATAATAGCTTGTGTAACATGACTTGAGATGGTTGGAATGGATTTCCAACATTTACCAACAGCCATAATAACCACCTTTATCAGAGACAAGGAAGGAGATTGTTGTAGGAGAGGCTTTTCCCCACAAATGTTTCATTGTTGTTTGTGCTTTTCCTTTCCTGGGAGCAGCAATTTAAATTTTTGTGCTCTCCCTAGCACCTGGTGCTATTGCAATGTGAAGAATATGAGAAAGGCAGAGATACTCCAGACCAAGTGGGGATTTAGTCTTTCTTTCAATTTGCCACAGTGGGTATGCTGGATAGAAGAGACTAGGAATTGGAAGAGATACGCTGTATGGCATCAAGCAATGTCTAACTGTGTTCTGGACACTAGTGATCTGTTTCCACAGTTTTTCACATCCCACTCCTCAGAATCTGGGATCTCCACTGTTAGCTAACAACTGTGAAAGAATCTCTGCTTGTGAAGGTGTAACATTTTTGACTCTGTGTTTGAAGTTTAGGGAGACCAAACTCATTATTTACGTGAGCAGTGATGTTTGGGGTTGGTTTTATTTTGATTGTTTGTTTCTTCACGAATTATATTTTACCAGGTTCCTTTTTGCTTTCCCCTCCAGGGTAGCAGTGGTTGGCAATGTGGATGCAGGAAAAAGCACATTGCTAGGTGTCTTGACACATGGTGAACTAGACAATGGCCGAGGCTTTGCTCGGCAAAAACTGTTCCGCCATAAGCATGAGATTGAGTCAGGACGCACCAGCAGTGTGGGCAATGACATTCTGGGCTTCGACAGTGAGGGCAACGTGGTGAACAAGCCTGACAGCCATGGTGGCAGCTTGGAATGGACAAAGATCTGTGAGAAATCCACCAAGGTCATTACTTTCATTGACCTGGCTGGTCATGAAAAGTACCTGAAAACCACCGTCTTTGGCATGACTGGCCATTTACCTGACTTCTGCATGCTTATGGTAGGTAGCAAAAAGAATGTATTGTACCAGCAGGAGTGGGGCTGTTCACAGCTTTGACAGCCTCAATTTCTAATCTACTGCAAAGTCCCTGTGGGGTTGTGGAGGGAGGCAGCATCTCACAGAAGTGGAGAGCAGAAGCCACTGTGGGTATCTCACCAGGACTCTGAGGCAAGTGCCCCAGGACTGTCAGTCCCAGGCAGACATATGATTCTTGAAAACTGAAAGATTTCTAATTTCCAGAAAACCTTGTTAAAACTGAGGAGAAATTAGCCAGTGTCCAGCAGCACTTGAAATTAGATTGGTCTGCTCATACAGTCACAATGACACATCTACAACCTAATCACAGCCTACTGCATGTCTGACACAAGGCTTTCTCTGTAACCCAGCTTACAGGAAGAGGAACATTTACATCCCTGTGTCTTGTATCCCTGGTGTAGGTTGGCAGTAATGCTGGGATTGTTGGAATGACCAAGGAGCACTTGGGCCTGGCACTTGCACTTAATGTTCCCGTCTTTGTTGTAGTGACCAAGATTGACATGTGCCCTGCCAACATCCTGCAAGGTGAGTCCTACACGCTCTCTCCAGGGCTGTTTCTTACCTCTGAATGTTCTGTTGTCCTCTGCATGGGTTGCAGAATTACTGCTGGAGGAAAGCCGCTTTATCTATTTTGACTGCACCTTAAACACTTCCCAGAGATCTGTCCTTTTCCCTGGCCCATTTTGCAGGCATTTCACTCCTAGTCACTGTCTCAAAATTAACCAAGTTGGGGGACTCAGCTGGGCAACATGAAAATGTTTCTACATGGTTTTTCTCAATTGATCTCTAAGGGGAGAAGCATACAATTAGGGTTGTGGCTTTGCTTTCTTTCTGGGTATTTAAGTCTGCAGGGAATGTCTGGAACTTCTCTTGAAAGCTGCTTTCCTTCTTGCCCACCATTTGAATGTGATCTTAAGCTGTGGTCAAACTTGTTTACCAGCAGCCGTTAACTGAAGGGCAGCTGCTCATTACATCCTGCTCACCTGGGTACTTCTCAGATAAGCTGACATAACTACAGCAGCTCCTTCCTCTGTCTGAACAGCCAACCAGCACTTAATACATGGTTCAAAGCAGCCACATATATGGCTTATGTTAGCAGGACTGGACTGGACTAGACGAACGGGGAAGGCAGTGAGCAGCAGGGGCTAGGGGGCTAGTGACTGTTTTGCTCGGCAGCAGTTAAAGCAGCACCTCTAATCCCAGCAGTGTCCCTTTAACCTACGCTTTTTTCAGGTTGTGGACAACTCTCACCTTTAAAATTCTCTTAGTTTGTTTCCCACAGCTCCAGGAACATGCTGTGGTTAATTGCAGCGATGGTGGGGGTGGTTTTTTTTATAATCAGTCCTAAGAATCAGGAAAGTGAATGCTTCTGGTACTGTCTGTGGTTAGTTCATTGTCTGTGGTTAGTTCATTATTGTAAAAATCCTAACTGTGTTTCAGGTAAACAGATGCATGTCATCAGAAGGTAATCTGAATGTCTCTATAACATATGTTTGGCAAATAAATATAAGGCCTAACCATAAGATAATAACTGGGAAAGGAGAACATTTGGCTCAGGGTGAGAAGAGCTGCTTTTGGGAGAAGCCACTCCCATGTCATGTTCTGTTTAAATTAAATAGACACAAGATTTGACTCAAATGTATCTGTGAAGAGCAGATGGCATGATTAGATGTGTGTGTTTCTGTATCCAAAACATTACTTTCCCATAGGCAATTATTTGTTCACAAAAACCGTCTAATTGGATGTCAATTGTAGAATATAAATGATCTGCTCTTTTAAGCCCTTACTCGCCTTTTTTCCCCCCTCATCTGTTGTAAGGCACTTTGCAGGAGGCTGATGCCAGTGCATCAGGTTAATGCCCCTGCTGGCTGATAAGTGTGAGGCTTAGAAAATATATTTAAAAGAGGCAAAAGATCAAAGTTGGGAGCCCTGAGATTTTTCCCAAAATATTTATTTCTGGATCTGATCCACCTACATTGTCCCAGTCTGTGACGGTGATCTTTGCCCCTTTCATGCTTCTCTAACCTTCTAGGGCTGGTTGATTGTTAGAGAAAGTGTGCCAAGTTTTGTTTGGTCAACATTGATTTCTGATTCACATGTTCTCAAATATTTCAATTCCTGAGTGCTGCTGGGTTTCATTGATTTCAATATGAAAAACCCTTTCTAGGAAGAGGAAATATCTTTTAACTGCTTAAAGATATTTAATAGACAGCCATAAAAAGTCTGCTTCGCAGCATTGCACTTGTAGATGCAAACGTGTATGCCTGTTCATGTATGGTGTTGCTTGGCAGCAGGCTAGCTGGCACGAAATGGAAGATGGAATGGCTCCTAAGTCCCACCTGGGCTGTAGCAAACTCATAGTCTCACACACCTTTAGTCATCTTCTCCTGTCTATTTGTGGCAAAAACACCAGTCTCCCTTTGGGGAGAGACCCCACAATAGAAATCTGCAAAGACAGGAGATGCTTCCCTAACAATATTCATTTCACCCTTTAAGAAACCCTGAAGCTGTTACAGCGACTGCTGAAGTCCCCAGGGTGCAGGAAGATTCCCGTGCTGGTTCAGAGCAAGGATGATGTCATTGTAACAGCCTCCAACTTCAGCTCAGAGAGGTAATGGGAGTAGAGGAGAGTTTGTCTTTTGATCCTATTTGGAGACTGGGTGAGAAGATTCAGAAAGAGAGTCTCATTGTTCAGATGTGTGAAGGTTGCATCTGCCATGTGGTGTGCTGATACCATAAGAATGTGTTGATTTTGAGGTTGACCTGCTTGTGTTCCCCTCTCTGAGACAAGTGAGAAGCTGCTTCTGGGCAGTCTGCAGAAGATGGCAGGTTATTCGGCTTCCTTCAGTCTTGGAACCTTACACCTTTTCCTGAATGTCATTAGAAGGCAGAGGCAATGTTACAGGTTTACAAAAGTGGGGTGTTGTGCCTCTGACTGCTTGCCAGGCTCTCCCTTCCTAGCACTGTGTATTGAGTCCCAAGATTTTGGATGTCTCCTACATGTGGAATCCCAGGCAGGGAGGTGAGCTAACTCTGTTTTCATCAATTTTCCTTCACAGGATGTGCCCCATTTTCCAGATTTCTAATGTCACTGGGGAGAACCTAGATTTGCTGAAGATGTTTCTTAATCTCTTGTCTCCACGGACTAGTTACAGGGAAGAAGAACCAGCAGAATTCCAGATAGATGATACTTACTCTGTCCCGGTAAGGGGCCTGCTATTTGGAAGAATTTTCTGCCTGTTCTAGGTTGAAGAAGGTATCTTCCCTAGAGAGGGGAGTTCTAGAGCTCTTCTGCTAGCGTGGTCAAGTAACCCCAGTTACTGTTTTTCCTTTTTTTGGTGTAGGGTGTAGGAACAGTGGTGTCTGGGACAACACTGAGAGGCCTCATCAAGCTAAATGACACCCTGCTGCTGGGGCCAGATCCCCTTGGCAACTTCCTACCTATTGCTGTCAAGTCTATCCACCGCAAGAGAATGCCCGTCAAAGAAGTGCGGGGAGGTCAGACTGCCTCCTTTGCTTTGAAAAAGGTGAGATGTTTGGTTCTAAACCCTCAGAGTGCTCTTGGACTTGTTGCAATAAGACTGCTTCTGTAAACCTCGGCTGCCTCATTTTGCAACTGAATAAAATCCCTATTGTGTGTGGGTCCCACATCCCGATTGTTCCACCTTACAGCTGCCAGGTGGTAGCAGTGGGACCCAAAGTAATCAGGGTTAGTGTTGGAGATGAGATGTCTAACAAAGTGGGGGCATTGGAAGAAAAGTTTCCCTTTGTGCTAGAACTGCATTAGTGTCCTGAACAGTGTATTTACACTATTCCTCTCAGCTTGTAGGACCAACTGTATGATTTGGGGTTTAACAATTAGCAGCATTTGATGTGATTCCTCTTGCAGAAGGTTTCTGTCAATAAATGCTGCACTGATTTTTAAGGGGGTATAATTTAGGCTATACCAAACTTCATGTGTTCAGACTTATCGTGTTGTGTTAACAGACATCACACTTTCAGAGAGATCGTCTGCTTGGATAATACACAAGCAGGCTGTGTGTTTTGCTTTTAAAGGATCAGTGACTTAAAACTTCTGTGTCAGTGTCAAGCATTCCCAGCACTGTAAAGCTTCCTTAGAAAATTCAGCTGAACTTGATTTTTGCAGCCTTTGCATAGCATCATTACACAGTGCTAAACAGTTCTTGCTTTGCCTTTTGGTGAGCATGAGTTGGTGAGCATCTGTGAAACCCCTTAGGATCCTTCTGGATGCAGTCAGCCAGAGAAGCAAATTTCTTCCCTGGAGAATCAGCCAAGTTTTTATGTGTCTCTGCTTTTCAGATCAAGCGTTCTTCCATCCGGAAAGGCATGGTAATGGTGTCACCCCGCCTGAATCCACAAGCATCGTGGGAGTTTGAAGCAGAGATTCTGGTGCTCCATCATCCCACCACCATCAGCCCACGGTATCAAGCCATGGGTACGTGTCTCAGTGTTGTCTCACCTTTGTTTCCCAGTGGTAACAGTTTGTATCAGTTCTAGCCTGAGGTGATTTTGCTCCTGCAGGTCTGTGAACCTGAATATACGCCATAGTTCGTGTTTTTACCTTTGCCAGCAATGTGTTAGAGAGAGGGGAGGGATCTGACAGGGAATGGGGGAGGCTGTAAGTAAAAAGGAGATGTGTGACTCCAAGTGTACTTAGAGCCTGCCTGAGACAGATCTCCACGCTGCAAAGATTGTTCAGCTTCAAATGCCGATGAAAGGACTCATTTTGAGTCCTTTAGTTCCAGCTGCTTGGTGTGTAGGATTCTGTTGAGGGTTTTTCAGGCAAGTCTCTATTTGGAGGCGACTGTTCTAGCTTATGTGTGTTTTCTTTTTGAGGACTGAACAAAGGCAGCTGTGTGACCCCTATAGTTTTTGCTACACGGTAGATTTTTACGTTCCAGACTCATCCTGTTAGCTGTAGGGTAGCGAGAGCTGCCTTAAATATGTCTCTGGAGTTTATTCCCCTGATGGCACTGGCTGCTGAAAGCCTTCCTGCGTTCCATTCACAGTGCATTGTGGCAGCATCCGTCAGACAGCCACGATTCTCAGCATGGACAAGGACTGCCTGAGGACAGGGGACAAAGCCACGGTGCACTTCCGCTTCATCAAAACCCCAGAATACCTACACATAGACCAGCGGCTGGTCTTCCGTGAAGGCCGCACCAAAGCTGTGGGTACCATCACTAAGGTAAAGCCTGAAGAGTTGGGTTTTTTTTTCCGAGTTAGCTACTTTTGGCACTGAGAAGCCAGCAGGATAATCTGGATAGCTCTGGAATATGAGGGAAGAGGCCGTCCTTCAATCGCAAACATCAGCCCATGGGTTACACATGAGCAGTGTGCTTTGTTGTATGGTCGGTCTTGAGCTGATGTGAATGAAGGAATGTGAAGGTGAGAGGTGAGCCAGACGCCTCTGGTTCTTAAGGCTCAGTCTCTTTCTGACAGTAGCTGGTCCCTTTGTGGTAGCTCATTCTCTTCCTGGTAGCTGGTCCCTTTGAGTCATGTTGTGGAGGGTTGAGTGTCACCTCAGCTGAGTGGTCCTTTCCATTCTGTAAGGGTACTTGAGGGCAGTTCAGAGACCTAGTTTTCTTTGAATAGCTGCTGCTGCATTCTTCTCCTGATGGCTATTGGTACGAGTTCTCTTGGGCTTTTTTGTTAAAAAGCAGCGTTGAACCTTACCAGATTGGCTCAGGTATTTTAATGCTGATCTTGGCCTCTCCCTTTGCAATTTGCAGTTACTCCAGACCACCAATAACTCCCCAATGAACTCCAAGCCACAGCAGATCAAGATGCAGTCAACCAAGAAGGGAGCCATTATGAAACGAGAGGATGGTGTTCCTCCAGCTGGGACAGCGTCTGGGGGCCCACCAGCTGGGGACGAGGCCCCCTCAACAGCTGCAGCGCCAATGACACCTCCTGCCCTGCAGCCATTGGTGAGGAAAATGCCCTGTTTGTCCTAGCTGTTTACATCCTGGTTTCTTCTATTGGAGGAAGGGTACTCTAAAGCACAGGCATTGTCCCCTCACCTTGGGACTCAGTGTGCCACAGAAACAGAGAAATATAAGTAGTCTCGGAGCAGAAAGCAAAATCCTGATGGCTGGATGACTGCTCATGGCTGACCTTTCAGCAGGTAGCAGCTTAGGTTGGACCTCAATTCAGGGTGTACCTCAGGAAGTGTCTACTTTAACCTCCTGCTCTAAGAAGGATTAGCTGTGAGGTCAGACCAGGGTTGCTCAGAGTTTTATCCAGTCATGTCTTGAAAATTTCCAAGAAGGAAGACTGCACAGCCTCCCTTGGCAGCCTGTTTTACTACTTGACTGTGCTCACAATGAAGAAGCATGTCCATACACCCAGTAGCTGAACTAGTGGAGCATCTAACAGCCAGTCACAGAATACATTTCTGCTTTCTGAATGAGAGGTGGAGCATCCCTACACTAGGGAAATTATGAGCTAAGTACTACTGTTAGGCACAGGTCACTTGCATTGTCAAGGAGGGAGGATGAAGACATCTATGAAGGAAAGACATATCTCTTTCTAAAGAAATTCATCTAGGTTGTTTTGTTGGTTAGTACTTCTCAGCTCAGCTTGTCCAAGAAGGATACCTGGCCTTTCTGGTCTGAAAGGAACTCAGTTCTAACTGCAGGCTTTGGGAGCTATTTATCAGCTTTATTACTGAAAGGTCTTTTCCTTTTAGTATGCTTTTCTAGTAAGTGAAAAGTTCAGGAACTGACTCTGAGATTTGATCAGTGTTACCCCCCTTAATTTTAGCTATATTAGTTGCCATTGGTCAAATCAAGCCCTCTTGAGGCAGGCTGGCTGCTGAAAGAGGGCCCTCTGGCAGGGGTTCTGTCATTTGCCTGTGGCTTCTTACTGATCCCCCATCTTCTTCTTGTCCTGATGTAGCATCTCTGTGGTTGTAAATAGTGCTCCCAGCTTGCTGTTTCCCCCCTCCCCCTGAGAGTCTGTGTTGCTTTTGTTCTTGCTTACCTCTGCCTCTCTCTCTTTGCTGCTTCCCCTCAGCCTGCGCTGGATGAAGAGCCCCACATCCGTGAGGGCAATAAGGTATTTGGCTGCTTTAAAAAGAGAACGGTGGGTTTGCTGGCCTGAGGCTGGGAACAGAGTCAGGTTAAAAAGACAAAGGGGGGCAGGGTCTCTCCTTCCATCCTGCATAAAGCCAAGGGAGCCTGAGGCCTTGATTTCCCAGGTGCTGAGCCCCATGGTACCTGATGACTGTCATGGGAGTGAAGCATTCAGAAAATTAGGAAATCAGGTCCTCTCCAGCTTGAAGGACTGAATTTCACAGGGTATCTGTTTCTCCTCCTTTCTTCATGGTGTGTCTGCCTGCCTTATCTCCTTCCTGCAGTGGTAGGAAGCTGGTCATTCACAACTGCCCTGCTGCTTGTCCGGATGTGTGTGTAATCCATCTGGATTCTGATTCAGAGGTTGCTGTGCATTAAAGTGCATCTTCTTGTTTTTCAGTCTAAAGTTGGAGGAGGAGGACGGCGACGTGGAGGTCAGCGCCATAAAGTGAAGTCTCAGGGAGCCTGTGTGACTCCTGCCAGTGGCTGCTGAAATTTCTTACTCCTCCCTCTGAGGAATTTCTCCCCTTCCCTTCATCTGTTATCCAAAAGATCGAGAGCAGCTTAAACCAAAACCCATCCAGCTGATTGGCTGCAGAAGAATCGTCCCTCCTCTCTGAAGGAAGCGATGGAGAGGAGAATAATTTATAAGCTAACGAAGGTGATGAGACACACAGAACTGAGTAACTGACACCTTCTTCCTCTCCCTATGACACATTTTTGTACATCATGGGCTTAGTTTTTATTCTTAGTTTTTATTATATTTTGTGTGCATGAAGATGAGAGGAGAGTCTGAATAGAACTGTGAAGAGCCAGTTAGCTGCCTCCCTCCTCCCTCACCTCATTCTGTCCACAGGACTTGCTGCTCTCCTCCTCTTTGCTGTCTCAAATCCAGGGGTTATCAGACGCTGGAAATTCCAGACTTGCAAAGGTTAGAACACATTGCTTAGGATGGCTCCACAGGGCATTGTTTCCTCACCACTGAGGCCCCATGCCAAATTTCTGGATTCTGTTTCCAAGTGGGTTTAATATAATGTTGTAGTGACTGATGTTTGAAGGAGATGGTAAGAAAAAGTTACTTTGGAGATCTGACAGGGAAACAAATTGGAAAGCAGTTTTTGATGTTGAGGAATCCCATACTGAAAAACCTTCTGAAATACATTAATAGCACTTAAGATTTTATTTAGAGACAGAATTAAATGGGCAGGCATTTGCCAATCCTGTTCCCCTTCCCATCATGCTGCTTTTTCCTCATTGTTTGCTCAGTGCACATTGGATTAAATCAAAGCTGCCTCTCAAGGCTGCAGCAGCTCAGTTGACAGTATTAAGAATATATTGTAGGAACATGTGTTCTGTCTCTAGAGCCTGAGAAAGCCACCTCACTTCGATGGACAGAGATCACAGGTGGTTACACACCTTTAGAACAGAGACACCAGGCAAATGTGACCTCCCCTTGGTTTTGTTTACTCCAGTATTTCCTAAATCTTTTCTGGAACTCAGTGGCCAAACTTTGCCATGACAGCAGTAGGATTTGTCTTCTCCCGTCTTGGTCGAAGAGGGCAGTGATGGCTTGCTACCGAACTTAACAGAAGTGCTTTCAGGTTTGGAAGTACATGGTAATTTTTCTTTCTTTTTTTTTAAAAAAAAGAAAAGATTGTAAGGTGTTTTTCTTTTTTTTATGACAAATTCTGGCTTTCCTAGGAAGGCCCTGCAAGGACGGTCTTTGAATTAACTTAATTGTTACGATGTTCATTAACCCTGGGTTGTGCACGTGATCAGTTCCCTGCTGATCTCTCTCCTAACCCTGCCTCTTGGCTCCTGCAAGGACAGGAGTTCTCCTCTGCCAGCTTGTGGTGAGCTGTGGAAGTGTGGGAGCATTTTGAGGGAGGAGGTGGCATCCTCAGCAAATCGGTGCTCTCCCCAGCTGATGCGGTCAGCCTCGGTTTCTTTGAGGGCTTCCTCCTCCAGTGAAGGATTCTGTTCTAATTAGAGGGTGACTGTAAGGTGTCTGCTCCTCCTTAGCGGGTTGTTCCTGTTTCTCACTCTGTGACACCTGCGTGGAGTTCATTCCAGTTCACCTTGTGATTTGGGGTAGGCTTTCAAGCTGACTGAGCAACAGCAGGCCTCTGGAGGGGAGAGCACGTCTCCCAATGCCAGCACCAGCACTCCAAGAGCATTAAGTGGCATGGGAGAGGTGAGGAACGTGGTTTGGAGACGAGGGTACTTTGCCTTAGGGACTGCAGTGGCTTGAGCATAGTGGAAGGGGTGGTCAGTCAGTCCTTTCCAAGCTATGTGCCTAAATACCAGCACTCTCCTAGCGAGGGAGGAACTATAGGCAGCTACAACACTCAACAGCACCCGCATTGTGAGAGGGTGTGAAGTGTTGCCAAGCAGGGCACGAGGGCCTGGTTGGGTTGTCTTCTGGCCCTGTAGCAGCATCAAACTGCATCTGATTTCACTGCCCTCTGCGTCTGAGTGGAGCAGGGAACACAGGGCGGTTTTCTCTTTCTTCATTCCTTGTGCTCCGAATGAAGGAGACTGCCGAGACTGGAAGAGGATTTACTTCAGTTTGTGCAAAGGAGGTGGTGTGATCTCTCTTTTGTGACCAGCATTTAAAGATCACTCAGGCTGGTGTGATCTATAAAATAAATTTTAAAGAAGTTTGTTCCAAGTTAAAGTATGTCTTGTTGCAGTTTGTCCTTCTGGAAAACCAGCGCTTGCTGCTGCAATGCCGAAAGCCAGACCAAGAGGGTTTGCCTGGCACCAGGCTCTCTTGCTGGCTCCATTTGTAGAGAAGGCAGGGGAGGGCATGCCATACCACACCACAGGAAAGTGTTGCTGAGGGACATGTACATGTGTGTGTGAAGAGGTGCTATAGCAAATCACTTGAGGCCAGCTCCATCAGAGACACTTTGCCAGAGGATGCAGTTACAGCACAGCACTTCCATTGCCTGTGTAAGCTTGTGCTCCATGTGCCCTCACTAGGACTTGCACCTCGCCTGTTTGTGTAAATACAACAGGAGTCTCCAGGGCTTGCAATGGGCCTTTTACTGCCACCTCAGTTGATCTCAAAGGTTCATGAAGGCTGTTCCTGCCCTGCACAGCTCTTTCAAAGGTAAGTGTTGGACTGGGAGCTGGTGGTGGATGGAGGAAAGGCCTATGCATCCCTTCTATTCCTCGAGAGGGCTGGTCCAGGGCCAGCAGAGAACAACAGCCTTCCCTAGGGTGGCCAGTGAAAAACTGCATGGGCACACATCAACACAAGCCTGCCTCCAGCCCATCTTGGTTAAGCAGATACTGGTGTGGCTCTCCTCAAGCTCAAGCCAGTCCAGTTTCCCTTTCTGCCACCGGTTTTCTTTATACTCAGGTTAACTTCCTCATGGTGAGAACAATTAAGTACTTCCTTTCTACTTGCTCTTTAGCTGCCTGCTGAGTAATTTACAGCCCATGTTTAAGGAAAAGAGAGCAACCTGCAGCTACCCTTAACTTGGGAGATAGGTCAGGCTTTGTCCTTGCCTTCCCTGCTGCCTCAGTCTCATTTACCACTCCTCAGGGCACAGCCTGGCTCTGCTCCTACCCATGATAAGACACAATATGGATGAATGTCCAGGGAGCGGTTGGTGGTCACGGAAGGATGGAATGAGCATGCAACCATGGACCACCACAGACTACTTACTGGAAGTTACTAATGACTTGAATTCCTTAGGATTTTAAGTCTTGTTTTTATCATTACTCCATGCAGTTTTTGCATCCGAGTCTGTTTGATAACAAGGTGTAAAAACTTCTTTCCCTAGAGTTAGTATGTCAGGCTAGAAAATAAGGATTTGCCGTAAGAATACACAGAAAAGCTACAGGAGTAGCTTGTGCATCATTCCCACCAGCAAATTCACCTACATCACACCCAAAACACAGCAGTTTTTGATATAATTTATTTGTCTCGGTTTGTTTTTTTTTCTTGCATAGGCATAAATTACAATCTGTTGATTAAAAAATAAAATGAACAAAACAGTGCAGCATTTGCAACAGGCTACAGTATCAAATACAAACTCATCTCCTGTGCAGGGCAAACTGAGGAGGGAGAACAGAGGATAGAAACAGAGTAAAATAAGGGAAATCTGCTCTGACAGCTGTTTCCCATTTCTCCTGCCTCACCAGGCTCATCTGCAGCAGCACGAGGATGAAATACCTCTGGGCAGAGATGCACGTGCTGAAGCGGCGGTTTGATGTGCCTTCTTTCCCTCTGCAGCTCAGGAAGGTGTTGCAGCAATGGAGAGCAGCTGCCTGAGTGCTCTGACTGCAGCCTGGCACCCATGAGCAGAGCTTGGGTGCTGACAAACCGTGTGTAGTCTCACCATGCCTTCCTGGGACTCCTCATGCAGTTGGCATGAGGAGACCTCCAAAACCAGCACTAACCCCTGCATAAACCCCAAGGTGACCTCTCACTGATGGCTCCAGGGGTTTTTAACCTCAGAATAGCACACTTTTATCTCCAAAGGACAGGGCAGGCTTGCCCTGTAAAGCCAAATGCGCCCTACCCCATAGCCAGTGGTTAACAGCAGAGACCCAGCTCCAGTTCCATTCTTGGGGAAAGAGGTTCCCCTTTTGCCACCTCTCACCACCATGCCCGATTTACCAGAGAAGCAAGAAGACCCTGTCCATCCTGGCAGCCCAACCCAGGGGGCAGGGAGCTAGAAGGGAAGTAAGAAAAGGGGTTTTCAGCCTTGTGGTTATGGCATTTGCTCCAGCAGCCAAAGAACCCCTGGGGAAGGGGGAGAGCCTCATCTCTGCTCTCTATCACTCAAATACAGGGGCTGCTCTGCCCAACCCAGGCCAGGCCTAGGCATTTATAAAAGCACAACGCCATGTGCGCAGGGCACTCATGGACATGACTCCCAGGCAAGCAGGCAGCTGCAGACAAGTTTAAAATAACTCTGGCTGTAGCTGCCAAGAATTAAGACTGTGCTCAATATAGGAGAGAATTTATCCTTGCTGGATCTGGCTGCGGATCTCCTTTCTCCCAACAAAAGGGCCTCCCAGTGCTGCAGAGAGCTCCATGGGGTCACTTTAAGCTGCTGGAGATGGGGCTGCATTCCTAGCTCGGAGCAAAAAGACCCCTCCAGAAGGGATGTGCTAACATCACCCTCATCCCCTCCATGTGGCATGGAGTGGGTCAGAACTCAGCCCCTCTGCCCAGCGTACACTGGAGCATGCTGAAGGGAGACACTTCAGCCCATTCCCCTCCTCTTTATCCCTCACCCTACAGTGCTTCAAGCAGAAAAGACCATATGAGAATCAATTCATTATGCACCCCTAACTGCTGGTGGTGCCAGGGGAAGGATGATGCCAGCATCAGATAGGGCCAAAATAGTAAACATGAGCCCTTTAGCTTTTATTTCAACAAAATATATGACAAATGTGGAGGCTTTAAGTGCCATCCAAGAACGTAAGCCAAACTAGGGGTGATGCAGGCAGCCAGGAAGCAGAGTGGCCAGATGGCCCTGGCACTCCTCAGCTCAGGGAAGGCCCTCATGCAACCTTCCTGCAGTCCCCTGCCACAGGGGAGGACTTCCTGCTGTCCCCTGCCCCCTATCACAACCCTATGGATAGAGGCAGGATTTACATGCCCACTGCAGGCAGAACTCCCCCTTCTGTTCCAGCATGGTCAGGGAACCGAGCCACGCTGGTCAGGAGGAGGCAGCAGGGAAAGGGAGCCCTTCCAAGAGAAGGATCACTCTGTGCCAGCCATCTGCCACTGGGGACCAGGAGGTGACAGAGGCAGCCCTGAGCACCGCAGGTGGGGGAGGCCCCATTGCTCCCCAAGGTGCAGGAGCATAGGAGCATGCTGGCACCTGCAAGCCCTGGGGATTGCCCCATCTCCCACCCATGATGAGAGTGGGGCAGAGCTCCAGCTCACTGCAGACAGTCACCTGTACACAGATGCAGCCATGGACAAGAGGCCACAGCCACACATTGCAGTCTCGGAGGATGTCTCCGGAGCAAGGAGGGCAGGATCTCCAGCACCCTGCCTGGCAGCAGTCCACGGAGGACCTTGGCTCCCAGGTTCAGCTACCAAGCCACAAGCAACTCAAGGCCTGTGTTTTAAATAGCTCTGCTCGTCTTATTCTAGCTTATCCTACTGTGTGTGCACTATTCCCATACTAAACAAAGCTCTAGCCCTCTTTGCATCTAAGCCACTTGCCCAAGGGGCACCATGTAACGTTCTCTGGTTAAGTAGAAACCACATGGAAAAGGTTTTTTAACTTTGTTACTACAAAAAATAAAACCCCTAACACCCCACCTGGAAAATACCTCCTCCCCCCTCAAAAAAACAGAACAAACCCAAAAGGAAAGCAGGTAACAGGAGTCTTCAATAGCATTATCAAGCTTAACACTGGGGAGCAGCCAGCCAGGGAGGCCAACGGCATTGCCAATACCCAGCCGCTGGCAAGCAGGAGGGCTTGAGCAGAGAGAGAGCAGCACCGGGGCAGGCTCTGCCACCACCACATGCCAAATTCCTCCCCTCCTGCCACCCCGAACCGTTAGTTTATGTTAGTACTTCACTAATACTGTCTTACTTCCCCTCTGCCAGCCCAGCATCAGAGACGGGGAGATCTCTACCAAAGCCAACACTAAGGCAGGAGAAACGACCCTGTGAGGAGGGGAGAGAGTCCGTGGCTGTGACTGCTGGCTCCTACCCACTCCGCCGGCACCGAGCCAGTCACCACGGTCCCATACACCGTATCGCACCCAAGCCTGTGTGAAGCACATGGCAAAATTCCATGCCCCTTTTCCAAGCCCTGGCAACACTAGGCACACTGTTGGAAAGGAGCAGGCAGTGGGGATGAAGAGCTGCGCAGACCTGATAAAAAAGGAGCTTTAAAAAGTTAAAGTGTCCAATACACATTTAAAACAAGCCAGGCTGCACCAGGACCCACATGGGATGCTCTTGCTTTGCCACCCCAGTCCTTGTAAGAGTGAAAGCCTCACCCCTTAAACCTCAGCTTTCGTGGGAAGCAGCTGCTGGCACATCCCAGGGTTTCTATGTGCGAAGCGGTGACCCAGGCGAACCCCTCCTGCTGTCAGCCCGGCAGTATCCTCATCCCACGCTGGGGTCAGTGCGCCGGCTCCCCGTGCACACGGAAGCGGTAGATGCAGGTGTATTCGAGGTGACCCCAATTGCTCAGCACCCGCAGCTCCACCAGCTGGTACAGGCCAATGGTGTCATCCTTGGGGAGAGGGGGAAGGAAAAACCTGAGCCCTTGAGAGCTCTCTGGGGCTCAAAGAGCCCAGGGGTCCCGTTGTCTTCTTGGGGTCAGGTGCTCCGAGAGCAAAGCACTTACCTCGAAGTAAAATGTTTGGATGGGACTGCCATTGTGGTCGTACTTGAACTGCCCAAGGAGAAGGCCCTCCTCCTCTCCCTCCTCCTTTAAACCCTACGGAGGGGCAGGGAGGCAGAAAGGGAGAACGGGTGGTGATCAGAGAGGGAAACCAGAGGTGCACCCAGGAAAAAAGAGGGAGATGGAGGCACAAGCACACTTGGTCTCCACTCCTGCTCTTCCAGGCCAAAACAGACAAATGGGGACAGGGGCCAGTGGGGAAGGATGAGGAGGAAGAGACCAAGAGTTATACCTGCTCAATTCCCTCTTCCAGTGCTTCCAAAACCCCCTCCTGAAGCCT